CTGTGGGAAACGGTGTCAAAGGCTTTACTGAAGTCTAGGTAGACAACATCCACAGCCTTTCCCTCATGCACTAAGTGGGTCACCTTGTCATCCAAGGTGATCAGGTTAGTCGATCAGGACCTGCCTTTCCTAAACCCATGCTGACAGAGCCTGACAGCCTGGTTGTCCTGTACATGTCGTATGATGGCACTCAGGATGATCTGCTCCATAACCTTTCCTGGCACTAAGGTCAGACTGACAGGCCTGTAGTTACCCGGATCCTCCTTCCAGCCCTTATTGTAGATAGGCATCACATTTGGTAACTTTGTCAACTGGGACCTCCCCAGTTAACCAGAACTGCTGATAAATGATTGAAAGTGGCTCAGTGAGCACTTCCATCAGATCCCTCAATACCTTTGGATAGATCCCATCCAGCCCTGTAGACTTGTGTGTGTCTAGATGGTGTAGCAGGTCACTGACCATTTCTCCTTAGACTATGGCGGCTTCATTCTGCTCCGTCTCCCTCTCCTCCAGCTCATGGCACTGGGCACCCAGAGCACAACTGGTCTTTTTATAAAAGAGTGAGGTAAAGGCGGCGTTAAGTACTTCATCCTTTTTCTCATCCTTTGGCACTATGTTTCCCTCCACATCCAATCGGAGATTCTTCTTAGCCCTTCTTTTGTTGCTAATGTATTTATAGAAACATTTTTAATCGTGTTTTACAGCAGTAGACAGATTAAATTCTAGTCAGGCTTTGGCCCTTCTAATTTTTTCCCTGCATAACGTCACAACATCTTTGTAGTCCTCCTGAGTTGCCTGCCCCTTCTTCCGAAGGTCACAAATGCTTCCAAGAATCCTCTCAAATCATGACTTCCAAAAAGCCTTTAAAAAGTGACAGCAAAAGACCAGCATCCCAAAAGATCAGCTGCTTGGTGGCCCCACCACCACTCACAGACTGGTGTCTGTAGGAAACAGCCAGCCCACCAACCTACCTCTAAGACAGGAAAATGCAGCAGCCAGGGCAGGAATAAGAGCAGATCCTTCACAAGCAAAGGCTGTTGGAGTAAGCAGATGTGTTGGCTAATGAATCTACTTTACTATTAATTTCTCCCCCCCAAAAGAAACCCAACTTCTTCTAGGGCAAACTCAAAAGGTTTTATTTTTTTTTTTCTTAGCAAATTCTATCACGTAAATGTTAACAAAAAACATCTGTACAATTGCCATGATACACTCAAAAGTGAAACAAATAAGATATAAATACAGATATGGATGTAACATGACAAAAGCGGAAAAAATAGAAAAAAATACATGCGCATGAACACGGTGCCAACAAAGTCATTTCTCATGGCTGGCATTTTTCAGAGCGGTTTTTACTTCCCATTTAAAACATTGTTAGCAACGTCCTGCTGTATACTACAGAGGTCTATTTTTTCTGTCCCTTAATATGTAATATTATGCTTGATAAATAAAGGGGTGGGGAGAAAAGGTTTTGATGACAAAGATGCGAGTTACGTTACTTATACAGGTTATTGGTAAGCTAGTAATAAGCAATAAAAAAAGACAGTCTCGTATTGTATTGTAATCCAGGCAAGCACACATAGTGTACCTTAAGAAAGCCACATGCCTCAATATTTCTGCACTACATGAGAACTACAGTACGTAGACCTGTGGGGCGGATGGATCTGGTATTTGCCCATGCCCACGGAGCACTGGTGCAGCCAATGGCAGAAAAAACATCCACATCTGAGATTTCGGCAACCTTGCAGCCAGGAGCCACTGTCTGCTGAGAGTTTTCTCCCATTCAGACTTCTAAAGCATGGTGGGCAAAGAAAATACACTATTTTTTTCTTTTTTTTTTTTTTTTTAAGATACGAAAAATTGAAGCCCTGCATAATGGGCAGCAAGGAAAAAAAAAAGGCAGCTGCAGTAGGTGCCTACTGCTGTGAGAATGTGAACACAAGCTTCACCGGTGCGGTGAGGCACTGCCAGCATGCAGATCTTTCTCTGCAAGCGTGCATGGACACTGTAATTTGTAGCCAGAGAGACCTTTATGCTTGCTGAAAACAAAATGATTGTACAGCTTGTTGAAGTCAGAACACTGGAGATCAGAGAGGTGACATTCAGAGCTAGCCCTTTGAGTACTTCAAAGGAAACACAAAAAAATTAATCGGGTCATGTTCAACATACTAAACAACCTTACTATGTACATTATACTCAATGATTTATAAATACCTAAGCAGAATGCTCTCTACTGTATACAGGTATAACATACTTCTAGAGTACTCAAAGGATGAACAGTCCTCGACTGACTCACGTAACAAAATTAAGTAGCACGTTAAAGAGCATCTGTTGACAAACAGAACCGAATCTGATTCAGAAAGTAAGGCCTGGTTCTACCATTTGCAGTCCCGAGTGTGCCAACAGTATTGGAAAACACAGGTCACTGGAGCAGCAGCCAGTTTCATGTATCTTTGTCAAGGATGAGCTGTTAACTCCTACTGCAGTGTCAGCACACGCACCAGCACCAGTTCAGGGACGATACAGTGTGTTCACTCTCAGTGCATACTAACAGGATTTGATAAAAAATATAAAAACATTTGAGAAGGAATTCAATTCCTGGAGATCTAGTAGAGTGTGCCATTAAAAACAAAAATAAAGAAACAAACAGCAAATGGTGATGGACCAAGCTCCATTACAGCTGGGAGGGACTAATCTCCATCTGGTCAGCTGTGCTGACCTTCTGAACCACAGATCTGGAACAGAAGATGCTGAACTGAGATGGGGAGAAAGAGAGGCATAAATACTAAGCAGTCAAAGTACAAATTAAAAAAAAAAAATAAAAAACAAACCAAACAACAAAAAAACCCAAACCCACTACTAAAAATTCACACAAGACAGCTAACTGCTGCCAACAAGTTGGCTGAGTATTTCCTCAAAAGGGAAAATAAATGTATCAAACTAAAATAATTTGAATCATTCAAAAATTAAAAAAAAAAAAAAAAAAAAAAAAAATTTAAACAATAAAAAAAAAAAAAAAAAAAAAAAAAAAAAAAAAAAAAAGAGTAGTCTAACAAGCATACTGAAAGATGTTGAAAAGAAATGGTCCACAGAAAGGGACACACCAACCATGGAGCAGCCAATCCTCCCTCTGGTGAGGATGGCTTTTCTCAGCCTGTGGGAAAGACCCTGGTGGAATCCCACCCACCAAGATCTCACTGTTTCTCCTGCTATGACATCACTCATTGGGAAAGTTGAGGGAACTAACCCTGCTGCAAGCAAAAGCTTGGACACATCCTGACAAATCTGGGAGCAGGTCACCTCCTCTGTTCTCACATCAGCAGGGAAAAGGACCAACAAGCTTTGCAGCCCAATCTCACATAGTCACCACCAGCCCCAGTCCTTCCTGAGCTGAGGACTGGGAGGGAAGCTGGCACCAAGCATCACCTCCCAGCTCCTTGAGGCCAGGGCTGAGACACAGGGATAAACTGATGGGAAGGGAGGACAATGTGGCTTTACCCTCCCCACTGCACTCCCCTGCTGCAAAGACTCTCATGTTCTCAGTACACTACCAAGGGTGTCCCTTCAGCTCCCCAGAGGGGAAATGGAGGGGCTGGAGAAAGACCAAGGCACTGAGAACAGCCAGAGAGCACACATCCATCACCACAGCTGCAGCCACAAGCTGCAGTTCCACCATCCTCTTGCATTGCTGGCAGTGGGGGCAAAAAGCCAGTTCTGATCCATTTCATATTTGAGGTGGGCATGCCCATCAGCCAGGATCCAGCCCAGGGCCAAACACAGCATTAGCATCCTCCTCCTTCCTCTGGTTACAGGAAGAGGCAGGGGAGCTCACACTTTGCAAACAGAGAGTCTCCCTTGGGGAAAGCTGGTGCTGTGGGGTATTTGGCTGCTGCTGGTTTGGGTCTGACCTGGTCTCTGTCATCAGGCTGCAAAAAGATTTGCCCTGTGGCACTTTTAACCAGAGCATCCTGTTGACAAGTAGTGCCCAGCAAGGCCTCTCCACACCCCTCCAAAATGCAGAGCACCCAGCAGGGCTGTGTGTGGTGCTGGCCAAGAAGAAGGAGGTTTCAAAAGGCAGCCAATAGCACTGCAGTCTCTTCAGGCACAGGAGGAGAGATGTGGCAGGCAACCAGCATTGTCCCAGCTGGCTCAGCAGGTGCTTTCAGGGGATCTTTTGTTCAGTTTCAGACACCTTTTTTGTCCTCTGGGATGAACATTTTGCCCAAAGCACAAAGAAGTTGTGGGACAAAGCCATTCACCACCCAACACCAGTGGGTCAGGTCAGAGCAGATCAGCCCTTTGACACTATATACTTTGAAAATGCAGCTAGCCTCACAAGGCAGCACTGAGATAGAGCCCTGCTAGCTCCCACTGCCCATCCATGGGCACACTCAGAACCTAATCCAACACTCACCCACCTAACTCCAGTGTCCTGTTCGCAGGCCATTAGTCCCAGAACTGGGTCTCAGGTTCCCTTTGTGGAGTAACAAGTAACCTGGAGAATCTTTCGAGCATATGAAAGAGCCAAATGGGTCAGGAGGGGAGAAATATTTACACAGTCAATGAAAGGAACAAAAGCCCAGCTGTTCTGCACAGCACAGCTGGCTGGAGAGCAGTTACAGAGAGATTAGCCCATCAGAGGTCAGTCAGAAGAACTATGTACAAAAAATCAGATGTTTAAAAGGAACCTACTTTTTCATTACTTACTTGATATCTCTTAGTATTGAAGTATCCAAGGCTGGAATCACAACCACATCTGCAAAGATCTCCCTGCAGACAGCTCTGCATGCTAGGCAAGCTGCAGCAGGGAGTACAAAACAGGACCACAAGACTTGTAAGAAGAGGAGAACCTAGCCAGAACGGCTGAGGGGAGAGAGCAGGTAACTAGCACACAGAAACCAAAACTGGGTATGAACTAAACCAACAATATTTGATTTTTACGCATGTCCAGGTTCCTGGGCTCAGTTTTGGAATGCTAACCTAAACATATTTCTGAGATTTCAGCAGGCTATACAAATATGTTTAAGTATGGCTTTCTGTTGTTCACTTTTAATGAAGACTGCAACACAGACCTTGCTTCCTTTACATTCAATACCAGTAAGATTCTACATAAAAGCTTTTAAGGGACTAAAATACTGATTGCAATAAATATCTGCATGGCCTCCTTGAGCTGATGGAGTACGCCAGTGAAGAGTAGCAGAAAGGTCTCTGAGAGGCACCGTTGATTGCTTCTAAGTCTACACGTATGTCCACATATCTCCATTAACTGTGCGTTGAAACATCTGAAGAGGAACTGCTGTTGCTGTTGGTGGTCTGGGCCCTCTTTATGTACAAGTTTAGTAGCTTCATCTGAAATAAACAAACAAACATGAGGAGAAGATGCCAGGAAAAGCAGGTGGACAAAAGTCAACTGCAAATCTTAAAACTTGCATTCTGCGGTGAATTGAGTTTTGAGTGAGCTGACACTGGCCTCTCCGGAGGAAAAGGAGAAGCAAAGCTCAGTGTACGTAGGGCAGACAGAGGCAGGAGGGTATGCCTAGTCCCACTGAAGTTAGAGAGATTTCATCGGATTTAGAAAAATTCTTCTTGCATTTCACTTCAGCAGCCATCAGCTCACAGACCTCAATCCTGAAGCCTGGGCAGGCAGGAATCCCACAGAGGTCAGTAGGGCTGCAGGCATGCAGTGACCCAAGAGCCATGGACCCTCCTAGGAAACACCCTGAACTCTCCATGCTTTACAAAATGGTAATTTTCAATGCCATTTAAATATCTTCACTAACTTGGTACATCTTGAGAAGCTGCAGCTGTTATGACTACATACTTCCTCCACATGGGTTTGTTTTCTTTTTCTGCCTTACCACCTTAGCTCCAGATCCTTCAATGACTCATGCACACATTTAACTTTAAACACACAGGCAGTCTGTGTAAACCCAGAAGAATTACTCACATGTTTATAGTTAGTTTTGTGGTGGAGTAAGTCTGTGGCACCTAGGATACTGGGATAATAACTTCTCTACAACATTGTATAGGGGGATTTCCTGACTGCCCAAATACAATGAGGCAAACCCCAGCACTCATAGCTGTCTCCTTCCAGAGCAAGTTTAAGGACCAGACAACTCAATTCAGAAATAAAATCCAAGTGTCTTCAGTCTCAGGTTGTTTTGGCCTACACCACACTTCCTGTGCCACTACCCATGAAAGAAATTATTGCTTAAAAATAACATAATGAAGCCCTCTAAAATAAGTACCTATTCACATGCAGAGATCTATTTCAGAAACAAAAATGCAGAATTGTTTGTAAAATCGTTTAGAATTCTTGGTTATGATAACTTCAAACAGCAGAAGAAATCTTGTGATGGCTTCCTGAGCAGCTCTGAAAAGCAATCAAACACTGCCTGCTTCTACATGAAATGCCAGCTCTTGTCTGAAGGCCAGAGCTGAATTAAGGAGTTAGTATCATCAGGTCAGAACTTGAGTTTTGCTGCTAACCTGACTCTAGGGCACAAAGTCCTCTGAAGGGTCGTGTCCCAGAAGGGACACTGCCATGCTATTAAAAGTGAGGTATTACCTGCATTTCTACCAGCCAAACCACAACCTGCTGCTGAGAGAACCTGCTCTCCCACCCATCCCAGCCATGCATTCCCACAACTCTTTGCACTGGGTTACCCGTGCAGCTGCAGAGCAGACCAAAAGCTCATTAATTTGTATTGCAGAACTGGTTTTCAGCCAGAGCAGCCAGCTGAACCAACTCACTGCACAGGCACCACTGGATGCAGCACTGGAGGGGTAAGGTAAACATGGCTGTAAGTGGGAAGAACCCGCTCAGTGGCAGCTTGCAGTTACACAGCATCAAATGCATCGTGAAACCCATCTCTGTACCCCATCAAAATTTTCTTAGTGGGATTTTCAAATGCTCACATTGCTGAGTAAGCACTGTGCTGTTCTAGTAGTCTTTGGTAGGGTGAGATACAATTTAGCAGAGTACAGAGAGCTTGACCCAGGGCTACACTGATGCCACTGGTCTCACTGCTAGCAGTTCAAGCGATTCAGCTAGCTATTATCAAGACTCCAGAGATGCATTTACTCTCATACCTTGCTTCCCGTGAGTTGTGCGAGATGAGGTTTCAGTTCTTCTCCAATTACTGAATAAATTGCCACTAGGCAAAATACGCTAGCTTTACGGACACTGCTCTCTGTATTATCATAACCCTGGGAAACAAAGAAAAAAGGTCAGAAGTCAAACAGCACTCACCAACGTCCTTTCAGAGCAGTAAACTAAAGAGCTGATGAAGATTCTGTGAATGTGCCTGACCTAATAGAGCAATAGAAAATGCTCTGTTTAGTGTAACAGTTTGCAACCTGAATACTCAAAGAGCAAAAGAATACAATCACATCCTATTTGTTCCTTATAGTATAGGTTACTACTATCATGTTAAAAGTTATTAATGTGTAGCACTGAGCAACAACACAGTTTCCCCAATATGTGCTTAGGACTCCTGTGTCCACTTCAGATGACCATACGCTATCTTGGATGGTCAGGACTTCTTGAAGGGGAGCCCTCATGCTCCTAGCTTGCCTTCAGAAAAGCCTTAAACACTGCGCTTCACACTGAACTGCCTTTGTAACCTGGAGCTTTCTGATTACTTATCAGGTAGTAACAGAAAATAGCATGTTGAGAGACCCCCGTAGGTGTATCAGACCTCTGGCAGCTCCAGGAGAGCTCAAGCTAGCCACCAGGTCACTCAGCAGCTGGCAACATGAGTCCTGTACTTGGGCAGTGATTCATCAGTAAGCAGCCATCCCATAAGAAATGAAGACATCACTTCAGCTTAAGGGACACTGCCTCCTCCGGATGCAGGGTGACCTCTGCTGGGAAAGCCAGGAGGAGGAATGCAGCACAAATGAAGCTGTTATAGCTGCAGGGCCAAAATACAGTGAGAAATGACAGTCTGCAATCCCAATAAGCTCTGAACTAGGAAAGCATGAGACCTAGATGAGCTGAGAGAAACACCAAGCTATTGAGGACAGAGGTGGAAAAAAGGCTGAGCCCAGCCTTTCAGCAGAGGAACATCCACTGAGACACAACCTGCTGCTGGAAGGACAGCTGAGATGCAGGACAGTCTTGTGGGTCCCAACCCAAAGGCTTCCTGAGATCATCAGATGCCTCTGCTTGACCTTAAGTTTCCCTGTGGGCCTGGAATTTTGTTTGTGTGTGTATCCCAAATTACCCCCGTGAGGGCAGGCACACTCATGCGGTGTCGAGGCCAGAGGGCTGCATCCTGGTGGGTGCAGGGTTGGTAGAGCCTGTCCTGTATGCACCAGCGGGACCGTCACCCCACCTCCCCATTTGCCAACTTGCTTGCAAGGCAGTGTTTGCTTCTTTTCCCAGAATTTAATAACACAGCCCAACAGTTAAAAGTATTCACTCAGGACATTACATGGGCTCAAAGCTCTCTCCAGCCTGAGGGTATCAAGATGCAGTACATGGAAGACTGCCTCACAGCCTACTTCTATCCCCCAGGCTCTGAGGGAGCCAGAGCTCTGCACTGGGACCAGGGCAAGCACCATGACATCCCCAGCGAAGCTCGGTTCCTGCATGGAGATCCCCAGCTGTTCATGGGAGTCAGGGTGATCCTGCTCCAAGATGCTGAGCTGCACACTTGTGCTCATACTGCTGCCATCTGATGTTTCTTGCTTCTTCACCATTCTACCAGTAGCCTTGGCATGGTAAAGAAGCACACTGGTGATTCCCTCCACACACAGTTCTTTAGCCAGGATCCAAAAATACTTCCCAAACGTGACAAGTGGAATCCTTCTATCACTAGGAGTTTCTAAGCTGAGGAAGTACCTACACTCTGAAATCAGATCCATTTTAAGACATGGAAGCAATTTAATAAAACAAATATAACAGCATTTTTAAAGGCTTGCTGCTCCCAAACTTTTCTAGTGCACTGAAGCTCCACTGTTCAGATTGTTATCTCCAACAATTATGGCTAAAAGCTTTTCACAACAGAAGTTTAGATCAATACAGAACTGTCTGACTCCCAGAAGTTGAAATTTAAGAAAAGAAATTGCAAGAGCTGACACCACAAAGTTGAGACGAACTCTAGGATGCAGAAAGGGCATTTCTGACTTCGCTCTTGTCCCAAACATGTCTTCCCATTCACACTGACTGATCTGTTCCTGCCACAATCTCTCCCCAGTAAACACATACACATTCTCTCTCCTCTCTCACTGTTGCCTCCCCTTATTTCCTTGCTTGCAGCCTCATCCCAGCAACTAGCACTGACGGCTGCTTGTGCAGGGGAACAGAAGACAACACTGCTACAGCCAATGCTGAAAGCTAAATTTGCAATGTAAGACCAAGCCTTAACGCAGCTCCCCACGCAGCCTGAGAGGCTTATGAAAGAGGCTGAATGAAGTCAGCAAGTAGTTCAGTCCTGATTTGGAAAGAGGAAAGGGCCAGCCTGCCTGCTGGGATTCAAATTCAAGTACAACCAAAACACAGAACAGCTCAGCAGAAATAAAGGAGACTACACAATATATTGCTTGGGGTGTACTGAGACAGCGCAAGATGTGGCTGACTCCTACACTCCAATTTGTTATGTGGCTCCTACTGACTTATTTAGGAGTCGGGCCAAGGCTTCTAATTGTGGAACATACACAGAAGAAACTGAATTTTCTTTTTCTTAACATTAAAAACTCAAATATAAAAACTTAAAGGGATTAAAACTTTAACAAAATCTAGCCTCAAAGGGTCCAGCCATTCTCTCTTAGGTCACAGACCTCACATACTACTCAGTGGTGGTTTGTGCTCAGGAGCATTTGCGACACGGGATACTGTACCTGTAATAACCCAGGAATGATATCAGGAAGGAGCTGATGCAACGATTCCTTCGAAATCCTCTCAATTACTTTCGTCTGCATTTTGATGGCAGCTAAATTAATTGGATAATCTGCAGTCTGAATGATGGGGCAAAGCACCTTGATGCATTGCTCAGGGTGGATGGAACTTGCCAGGGTGGAAGCAGCTTCTTCAGCAGCTCTGACGACCTAGAATGAAAGCAGAGCCAAACCTTACGTTAATGAGGTCACACTTCACAGCCAACACCACCTGTGTGTACTAGGAATGACTGCCAGGAAATGCATAGGGATGTTCATTAACGTATCCACAGGAGGCTCTATTGAAAGGTGATTGAGAATTCACATCCTTCACCTCCAGTGACATCTTTATTCCAGCCAGTGTTAGGAAGTCCATCCTGCCTAACCTAACTGTGTCAAAATTGTGGCTAGTTTGAAAAAGTCATCTGCCACCCAAGATAGATAAGCATTCCCATCATAGGAGAAGTGAGAGGATGACATCTCTCCAGCCACTGTCAAAAGAACCTAAACTTACCAGTTCAGACAATACAAAATTTATCTCTTGAATGTTATGATGAATGACACCGGTACACCTTTTATTATGTATCTCACCTGCTGAGCGCTTGGGTGCCCAAACTGAGACACCTATGACTACACAGATGAGTCCTGCCTTTTTGCAGCTAAGCAAATGCTGTAATCAAACCCAAGCTACAGACACAGTAAGGTCTTAGGCTGTCCCTGACTATGAATCTGTGCTCTCAGCACACCTAATCCCTTAAGGCAGCACTGGGATCACTATAAAAAAGGAAGCGTAAGTGTGAACAGTGGTGGCATGCACTTTCTGCAACTAGCCCACACTGTATTGCAGTCATGCAAAACAAGGGAGATCTTAGATCTAATTCTATTACCCCGAGAGAAGGCAAATTCACAATTTCCACACTCTTCCGCAGTGGGTAGGACAGCTAGCTGAAGAGGAAAGACCCAATCCTGGTCTCTCCTCCCATGAGTTTATTCATTTTACATTCTGCAGTAATCAGATTAAAAAAACAGGACGGAAAGGCAGGTTTTCTTTTTTCAAGTGTCTGTGCTAATTGCCAGGCAACAAAATGAAGCTTTCCCTTAGTCACATTCTTCCTGGACACAAGTCACATACTCTTTGCTCCCCATGTTCTTGTTTCAGTACAAAAGATGGAGGATGCTTTTGTTCATCTCTTCTCACTCCCTACTTCTCAGGGCTTATTTTTAAGGAAGCATAAATCCTGAGGGGACAGAAATGCCCCAGTGGGCAGACATACATCCAACATCTCAGCTCTAAGAAGAAAGAAGCATTCACAAATCCTCATGCTTAGGGTCTCCCAGTTAGCCCCAGGCAATCTGTGAGTCCAGGAGCATTAATAAGCCTTTCAAGGCAGCCCCTTTTTCCCAATTGTGCAAGAAGCTCAGATGCCAGCACCACTTCTCTAACTCATCTAAGCTGAACTACCTGGGGTTTTCTGAAGTCAATACTTTGAAACCAGCACTAGGAAATCAGCAAAACAAGCAAACAAATCAAGCTACAGGTCTCCTGTCACTTAGACTGAAGCCATAGCTGCTGGACTCTCCTCCTTCCCCTCTTCCACACAATGTCATGGTATCAAACTCAGGGATTTCTATTTGACTAAGGCAACCCACGGACAGATGTGACTCTATCAAAGCCTCAAATGAAGGCAAGCTTCCATTATTTTTAAGTAACTACTGTGGAGTATCTGGAGGTTTATCTCAGCCCTTATCAAGACAAGAATGTCTCCCTGCCTGGACTAAAAACATTTTCAAGAAACATTTAATTGATTTTTAAGGTAGCAATAATGGATAGACCAGAAGAGATCACCTCCATCTACAACGCCTGCTTCACCCACAGTCTTAGCATCACAGCCACTACCAATCATCTTCCACTGACTGACAGCTACCTCCCTGAAACAGGAATGGCCACAACATACTTGTACAACCAAGAAGTAATAAAACTTAATTCACTTAGCTCTTGGCATCCTCTAAAGCAAACCCAACAGTGAACAAGATCTCAAGTACTTCACGTGGTACAAAAATTGCATGCAGGCAAAGCATAGGCAGGATGGTAAAGCAGACTGGAGACCATGACTGCTTCCTCATGAGTGCCCTATTTACAGAAGAAAAGCTGTCAAACTGTTCCATTTACTTCAGGCCTTTCTCAGCATTTAATTATAATATTAAAACATATACCAAAAAGAATGACAATCCACAATGTGGTCAGTATTAAAAAAAAATTCATCCTGAAAGATCTGTGAATGAGTTAACCAAGCAGAAAGGAATGCTTGTTTTCCTGCTTCCAGCAAGTTTTATCTTCCAGCTATTTTTTTGCTCATTCCTCTTCAATTTCACACAAGAAGCATGAGGTTAATAGTTTTCCATGTAAGCTAGTGCTAGCTTAGAAACAAGCAGGACGTGATTTCACTGGGAAACACCCAAGTATTTAAGGGAAACCTAACGCCATGTGTTGGTACCACAGCATTGAATTGCTGAGGGGATGAAGTCAGGAGCTCCTATGAGGTTCTCTCCTTTAAAGGAATTCACTTCTTGGCACTGCAGCTTTTGATGTCGGCTTTGCCAGTGGTGAAACACTGCTACCATCAAGCTTTTCACAAACAATGCAGTGGACTTACAGAGAGCCCAGATATCTTGTAATCTATTTAACAACATACACAAGCAAGTCACTAGCTAAAAAAACCCAGCTATAACTATGTGGACACAGGCTTCTTGGGATTTTGCTTTGCAACAACTCCAAATACTGTAGTAAATGTTTTCAGACACCCTCAGAAAGAAAAGCTTGTACTTTTTTTTAAATATTTTTTTAAACTTTAAATCCTCTTGGTATCCTACTTGATAAGAAAGCAACAATATGTTAGTATGCACCTACAATTCTGATCTCAAAGACACTACTGTAAACTCCAAACAGTACAGGAGTAGGTTAAAATGTATAAAAAAGTATGAGGCAAATGCAGAAGACAAAACCTTTTTTTTGAAAAAGCTTATTAACCAATTCCAAGCACGAAGGTTAAAATACAGCTGTGATTTTTCACAGAACAAGTGAGGGTCCAAATAACAACAAAGATCATACATATTTAACGCAACATAAGGGCGGGAAGAAAAGTTGTGAAAGCGCAGAATTTATTTATGCCCCTGCAAGACCTCCTTTCGGCAAAGCCACCCATTTCCAGCAAGAATCTGGCCACATTTACTCAGCATTTGGGTATTTCACACTGCCTCTCCGTGAAATGCCTTGCCCCTGAATACAGAAGGATGTGTTACACGTGTCCAGTAAGCTTACTGCAGATACTAGCTTGTAAATGTGACAACACCAGGGAGGCTTCCAAGCCTTCTGAGAGCACATCTGGCAGACAGCGCCTGCATCTAAGGCACACTTCAGCAAAACCCTTAAGCGTGTGTTTAATAACAATGCTGAAGTCTCACTGACATCAATGGGATTCAAGCGTGTGCTTACATGCTTGCTTGAATCAGAGCCTCGGCAGGTAACTAGGCTCCTGGCTCCCTTGGAAAAGACCAGCAAGGGACAGAGTGTAGGAAAGGGTACGGCAACACCAGTTAAGAGTGAGCCAAAAAGACAAGCCCATCCCTGCTGGCACAGAAAGCCAAATGCCACCATTTTGCAATGCAAGTATCAGCCCTGTTCCAAAGGTCTTTCCTCCTGGCTTTGGCAGAACAAAACATTCAGCCACCCAGACCACCTCTGCATCCCGTGAGGGAAAGAATGTCTCTGAATGCTTACACAGCATGCTCAGAGTCCCACTCACCTGGTAATGCCAGAGAAATCAGCAGCATTCCCACACAGAGGGAAGTGCGTTATCAAAAGATACAAACTGCCAGGTCATATGGCAACAAGGAAGCACAATTACACCAGAGTTTAGCAAAGATATTTTGCTGTGAAGCACGACACTTGAGTCTCGCAAATTATACATATCACACAATATTTAATCAGGGCTTTAAACGAACCAGCAGAGTGAAACAACCTTAAAAGGAGTGGGAAAAATGAGCAAACAGCATCAAGCAATAGGTCTTCCTCCCAACTTTAGATGCAAGATTAGCAAATACACACTTGGAAGCAACAGGAATGGCTCATACACACCACAAGAAATGCATCCTTTAAATCTGAGAAAATAAAAGGGTGCTGTTCCCTACATGCTCAGACCAGGGAGCTCATTGTCACAAGAGGATTAAAAAATAGACAAGTTCACTGAAGAAAAAACAAAGGCCAAAACAAACAGGCAGAAAAAAACATTAGTATGGGAAGGCTGTAAGCTTCAGATAACTGGAAGGAGGGAGGACATCCACAGAGAAGCATCATGGTATGCTTGCTTCTTGATAGTCAGCCAGGTAGGGTATCAAGTGAAGCAAACTTCTTGTCCGACCCAGTATAATTATTCTCAGTGACCTCAGAAATATGAAAGAAAACTAGCAGAGCCTCAATGATGATGACAGTTGGAAGCAGCAAGATCAAAAGCGTGGCTAGGAAACAAGACGTTCAAGACTAGAGAGAGCCTGCAGTGTTCTAAAAACACAGACACTAAGCTGTGTGTAAGGTATGTCACAAACATGATTTTACCTCCCAGTTAAAGCTTAGAGCAAACCATGACTTGAACTGGATAGTTAGATATCATTCAAGACAGGGCAGGTAGCCCAGGAATGCAGATCTAAAAGATAGCATTTTGCCTTAAAGAAGCAGGTTTTTCTCCTTTCTAAATGCTTACCTTACATTCTACATGCTAGAGACTAGATTCAGCCTGACTTCTGGCATAACATAAACTGTGTTTGCTAGCGGTTCCTTGAAAGACGTCTGTGGTGCATTAAGACCTTTCCAGTAAGTCTCCCTAAAGAGAGAAATTATTATATTTCCCCTTGCTTTAGGGAAGAAACCATATTCACCTGCAGGAAGCCAGAGATGTAATACACAGATAGGCTGTTCACCTCTAGCAGTGTCTCCCTTAATGCTATAAAGGAATAAGCTTCAAAGTAACAGGATCAGCAGTCCCAGGAGGATGCACATGAAATGCTTTCACATCTCAATGAAAAAGGATATGCTGATGTGCAGTATTAGGAACAGTGTGATCAAGACAGCCATCTGTCACAGATCCCTTTCTTATAACAGAAAAGCACATTGGCAT